TTGGGTTCTGAAGGCTAGTAGAAAAAATTCCAAAAATGTGTACTACTAAAGGTAGCTTTTGCATCTGTGATATATGAACTGTGGGTGGAAAGAAACAATAAGAGTTTTAAGCAATAAGAGCACAGGGAAGAAGAAGTTGGGGCATAGCATTAAACTACCCTTTGTATTAGAGTTAGAGCTAATAGTAAACTCTTTGATTATATTTGTAAGTTGTAATATGCTTGATATTCTGAATGAGAAGGAGGTAGATAGGTTTTTGCATTAGATAAATATATAACGGCATATATTCTTGATCTATATTTGCTTACTTGGTGATTGATAAAATGTAATTGTTAATTGCCAAAAAAAGGATTATTGTTTAAAACATCTTTTCCTATTTTAGATGTGAATGTGAAATCTCTTTCCGCCTTTTAATATTACGTCTAGTATATTATTTGAAATTTGGTTCATGTTGTCATCATCAAAGGTCATTTGACATTTTGGTCAAGTCATCAGTTTCTTCCTTTTTGATGGTGACAAATATACTCCTTTTCCTTCGCCTATTTCAGCAAAACACTCCAAAACACTCTTCCCCTTTTTTAACACATGAAACAGAGAGAAAGATTAAAAAAAGAAGATCATAACAAACTTGAAGCCACAAGGGCACACTCAGCCAAGGCAAACACAGGAACGCATAAAATCTAAAGATATTAGCCATCAAATCAAATTACAATGAAATAAACCCAGGCAAAGATAGATGATTCCAAGACATGATGCACAATGTTTAAGATCAGTAGGAGCTCCAAAAAAATATCCACTAGACTTCTCGCCACATCTGTGTTTTGGAAGGATGTGGCACACACATGCCTGAGCATCGGAGATTGTGTTGTTTTGATTGTTTTCCATGTATATGTGTATGGTGTACAAAGGTATTTGACATACATACGTTCCTGTTAATAAACTAATTCTACATGTTATGTACTACCTTTTAGAACATATACCATGTTCGTACTAGCCACACTTCACAAAACAACCAAGCATGGTTTGAACAGTTCAGGAAGAAAACTTCCAACTCTTTCTTTTGATATCAGAACACCCTGATTTAACTTCACACTGAAGATATCAATATCCCCTTCACTAACTTTGCATGATATGAAGCACGACGTAGACATATCCACTTCTGGATTTCAGAACGAACTCAGGAAGAAGTATGGAATATTGATATCATTCAATATTGTTGTGATGTCACAACATAAAATTGGAGAAAATAAGAAATTAATGGGCTTCCTAAATTTATAAATGAAGAACAATCAAAGGTAAAAAAAACTCATTTATATGCTTTTTGTCATTAACTGAAATCCAATGAGTTAAAATAATCTAGCTTCTCTCAACTCGAGATAAATTCACACATTGCTCTTTGAACTCGTCTCTCTCTATATAAAAGAATCCCTCTTTGAAATGTTTGCTGCCTTTAATAATACTAGTCATTTGGAATGGGACATAACATTAAATAATAGAATACCAAGAATTACTATTTTCATCAACTCTGTAGAACTGATGCACAAGATATATTTTCATTGATCCAAAATTTGGAATTAATGTGTTTTAAGTGCAAAAGTGTCCATTAGACGCCAACCTCAATTTCTTAAAGAAATTCAACATTCATAACAAAGATACAAGATGAGTTTTAGCGAAAGAGAAGCGTCAATTCCTTAAGAATTAATATTTGAAATTTTTTTCATGGCTTCCTGCTAAGTCGTTAATGTGTTTTAAGTGTGTTTCTTGACTAAGTAATTCACTTGTATCAGAGTCAAACTTTGTGTTAGCGTGATAGAAATCGAAATAATTGTATATATTAATGTTATTAGATAGTGATATAAATTAGCATGATCATATAAATTTGTTGTAGTATTAAAGTAATAAATATTGAGATAGAATAGCGGATTTGGAGGGATTGAATAGCAAATTTTTAAAGATAGAATAGATGATCTTTAGGGATAGAAATTAGATTTTTAGAGAATAGTTGATCTTTAGGGATATAAATGACAGATCTTTAGCAATGTGTCATTTTTATTCTCACTATATTATGGAAAGACTCTCACTTTCAGAGACATTCAACATAAAATTGACATGGTATCAGAGCCTTGTCTTTACTGTCTTGTTTCATAGAGTCTCTGTGGTTCCTTCTAATTATTTTTTTTTGAAAATCATGGTTTTTTGTTGACTTTTTGTGATCAATCAGTCCTACCACCTAGGACTTTTTCTCTTGTTCATTGTAGTTGCTTTCGTGAGTCTCTGTAGTTTTCATAGCTACTCAAAAGGATGAATTCACATCACTTTGAATCCTTCAGTGTTTGTTTCACAGGAAAAAACTATTATTCTTCAGAGTTTCAGTTTCAATTATTTGTCATCGGCAAAGAACTATGGGGAAATATAGATGCATTAATACAACAAAGCTACGGGAATGGAAGATTAAAGATGCTCGAGTGATGACGTGGATTCTAGGGTCAATTGACCCTCTTATTGTTCTAAATCTCAAGCCATATAACACAGCTAAGGCCATGTGGGATTACTTATAAAAGGCTTACAACCAAGATAATAGCTCAAGATGCTTTTGATTAGAGTATGAAATTGCTAATTACTCTCTAGAAGGTCTTTCTGTTCAAGATTATTTTTTTGGATTCAGAACTTATGGTTTGAATTCACGGATATTGTCTATGACAAAATATCTACTGAATCTCTATCACTGATTAGGGATTTAATAAGCAAAGCAAGCGAGACTAATATTTGATGAAATTATGCTCTGACTTTCAGAGTGTTCGCTCTAACTTAATGAATCGTAACCCGTCTCCCTCTTTGTCTATTTTCTGTAGGAAATTACTTTGTGAAAAGCAATATCTTGTCACACAAAAAGCTTTCAAGAAGGAAAATGACGTCACTGTTGCATTTATTGCTCAAGGTAAAGGGCAGGGATATGAGCAGAACTCAATGCTGCAGTTGAAGGGAATATGGGCATATTGATAGTAATTGTAGCAAGAAATTCTATAATTATTGTAAACAACAACGACACATCATCAAAGAGTGTCCCACATGCCCTCAAAATGGTACGGTTAACAGTTTTCAAGATAGGATAAATGGTTTCACTAGTGATAACTCATCTTTAGGACAAGTTCATACTACGGAAATGTTTTAATAAATAATCGTGTCAGCCTTTTCAGCATTGGGATTACAAGGTAATGATGTTACATCTGATTTTTGGATTGTTGATTCTGGTGCTTCCAATCATATGAACAACTCAATGAGCATCCTAAAAAATGTTCGTAAGTATCAAGGTCCATCACAAATACAGATTACCAGTGGTAGTAATTTACCCATTACCAAGGTTTGGGATATTACTCCAACTTTCAAAAATGTTTTTGTTTTACCATAGCTCTCAACTAGTCTTAATTCAGTTAGACAATTTGTAGATAACAATTGTGATGTTAATTTTTCTCGTAATGGTTGTCTTGTGAAAGATCAGGTGTCATGGATGATAATCCCAAATGGGCCTAAAGTTGGATGATTGTTTCCTATACACTTTTCTATTCTTCCTATTCTATATTTTGCTTGTACTTCTACTGCTAGTAAGACTGATATTTGACATAAGCGTATAGGACATCCAAATTCTGTTTTGTTGTCTCATTTATCAAATCTTGTTTATTGGGATACAAAAACGAATTTTCAATTGCTTCAATTGATGGTTTTACTTTAAATTAGGTAAAAGTAAAACTCTGTCTTTTTCTACTTTTTGTAGTCGTGCTACAAAGTGTTTTGATGTCATTCCTAGTCATGTTTGGGGCATCTCACTAATTATTTCTCATGTTCATTTCAAATACTTTGTGACATTCATAGATGATTATAGTGAGTTTACGTGGGTTTATATTCTTCGATCCAAATCTGAGGTATTTTCCATGTTCAAGACATTTTTGGCTTTCATTGAGACTAAATTTGCTACGTGCATCAAATTATTAAGATATGATTCTGGTGGAGAATATATGTCTTACGTATTCAAGAAAAACTTACTTGACAAAGGAATTGTCTCACAACTCTCTTGTCCATATACACCACAACAAAATGAAGTTGCTGAACCTAAAAATTTCCATCTTTTAGACGTCACTCGTACTTTGTTGATTGAGTCCTCTATACAATCTAAATGTTGGGTTCAAGGTTTGTCTAATGTTTTCTGTATAATTAATAGATTTCCATTTAAAGTGCTAAATTTTGAGTCTCCATATTTTATTCTTCATCACAAAAATCTTAACTATAGTGAGTTTCATGCACTTGCCTCCTTCTCAGCGCAATAAACTTTCTTTACAGTCTACTAAATGTTCTTTTATGGGTTATAGTACTTCACAAAAGGTTTTATTTTCTATGATCCATGTTCTCACAAATTTTGTATTTCTAGAAATGTTGTTTTCTTTGAGAATCAATATTTCTTTCCTATGATTGTCGATTCATCTTCTACTTCTCCTGTTCTTCCTACTTTTTATGATTTATCATCTTCTCTTAAGAGGTTCAAACCTGGATTTGTGTATGAACGACGTTGGCCAAGTTTATCCTATCCTGACACTGATCCACTGCCTGAAACTATACCACAACTAGAATCTGAGAATTCTTCAAGATCTGGTCCTCTTGAGCCTACTCGTCACTCTACCAGAGTATCACGTACTCCCGATTGGTATGTATTTTACTCTACTTTATCAAACATTTCTGTTCCAACTTGTTACTCACAAGCTTCCAAGCATGACTGTTGGCAGAAAGCAATGGAGGAAAAACTTTTGGCTCTTAAAGAAAATGGCACATAGAACATTGTTTCATGTCCTTCAAATGTCCACCCTATTAGATGTAAATGAGTTTATTCATTCAAACTCCATTCAGTTGGAACTCTTGATCGATACAACGCTTGATTGGTTGTTCTTGGTAACAAACAAGAGTATGGGGTGGACTATGAGTAGACTTTTGCACCCATAGCAAAAATTACTATGTTGCAAACTGTTATTGCCATTGTTGCTTCACAAAACTGGTCTCTTTATCAAACGGTTGTCAAAAATGCTTTTCTCCATGGTGATCTCAAAGAAGATATTTACATACAACCTCCACATTGTTTGTTCTTATCGCCTACATTAGATGTATGAAAGTTGAAGCGGTCTTTGTATAGATTAAAACAAGCTCCAAGATCTTGGTTTGATAAGTTTTGTTCTACTTTGCTATAGTTTTCTTTTGAGCAGAGCAAATATGAATCATCTTTGTTTCTTCGAAAAGCATATGCATGTTGTGTTCTTCATTTGGTGTATGTAGATGACATTATTATCACAGGAACCGATTCTTCACTAAACACTAGCCTCCAACAACAACTTAAAGATTTTTTTCATATGAAAGATCTTGGTACTCTTACATATTTTTTGGGTTCGGAAGTTCATAATATTGCTTCAGGTGTGTTTCTAAACCAACACAAATATGCTCAAGATCTGATTTCTTTGGTTGGTCTTCAAGATTCCTCCTCCGTACATACTCCATTGGAATTGAATGTAAAGTATCATCGTGAGGAAGGCGATATTCTTCCTGATCCATCTATGTTTCGACAATTAGTTGGAAATCTAAATTATGTTACTATTACTCAGCCTGATATTTCTTTTGCAGTTCAACAAGTTAGTCAGCTTATTCAAGCTCCCTGTCATCTCCATTTCGTGGCTATTCATCGCATCATTCGGTATCTTCTAGAAGCATCTACTCATGGATTATTCTTTCCAAGTGGTTCTTCTATTCGTCTTACTACTTTATGTGATTCTGACTGGGCGGGATGTCCTGATACTCGTCGTTCAGTCACTGGTTGGTGCATGTTTCTTGAAGAGTCATTGATATCTTGGAAGAGTAAAAAGCAAGATCATGTGTCAAAATCTTCAACAGAGGCTAAATATCGATCCATGTCTACTGCTTGCTCTAAGGTTGTATGTCTTCGTGGATTACTTGCTGAGATTGGATTTTCTCAGTCTCATCCTACTCCTCTCCATGCTGATAATACAAGTTCTATTCAAAATTTCTACTAGTCCAGTTTTTCATGAGAAGACCAAACACATAGAAGTAGATTGTCATTATATACGAGAAGATGTAGACAAAGGATTCATTACTCTTCCACATGTATCCAGTGATCTTCAAATAGCTGCTGCATTTACAAAATCTATGGCACGACAAAGCATTCAGTTTCTAGTATGCAAATTGATGCTTCTTGATCCATCGACATCAATTTGAGGGGGAATGTTATAATGATGGAAATCTAAATAATTGTATATATTAGTATATTTAGATAGTGATATAAATACACATGATCATATATATATTTGTTATAGAATCAAAGGAATAAATATTGTGATAAAATAACAGATTTGGAGGGATTGAATAACATATATGTAGAGATAGAATAGCTAATCTTTAGGGATAGAAATCATATTTGTAGAGATATAATAGCTGATCTTTAGGGATAGAAATGATGGATCTTTAGGGATATCGAATATTTATTCTCACTATTTAATGGAAAGACTCTCACATTTAGAGACATTCAGCAGAAATTGACAGTGGATTTCCATACTTTACTATTATGCTTCAACTTTCTCGCCATCCAAGGAAAATTTTGATCAGTGGTATCAGTTGAAAAGCTCTTATTGATTCAAGTAAATATTTTTCGATCTAAAGAAAGTAGACAGGATAAGGAAAAAAGAACCCGTAAAACAATAAAACACCAACACTTGTTTCAGTTTAATGCAACTTCTATGACTCCAAATGATGACAGTGAGACTAGCAGATTTTTAAGGAGAATGTTAGTTCTGTTCTTAGAAATATGGTGATGATGAAGACGATGCAAACTACTTGAAACCAGAGTACCTCTCATTGAGTTATTACATTGGTTGCATGTGAAGAAGGGAGGCAGAGGCAGAGGCTATTGTATCAGAAAAGTAACTTTTGCATCTTAGATGACAAAAACAGAGTGACTTTCTTGCTCAATTTCTATTATTCAAGTAACCAGCTCAAAATAATGCTACAATATGAAAAATATGAGCTAACAGATGGAACGTAATGCTCAAAGCCAAAACACACAATTGAGTAATAGAACTACCACTGATTGCATATGTAATATATGCTTCCATATGGAGGGGACGCCAATGATATTACATTCTTTCTAAAATATATGACCTCTAATTTAGCCTTCACCTTTATCAAATCGTAATACTACATTGACTCATGATATGCATTCCACAATGCAATAGTTTCGAATATATCAATCAGTTGTTTTAGTTTGAATTGGATTGGTCAAGTTATTTATTTTGTTTCAGATTTTTCAGCTATACACCATTAATAAACTGATAGATAACTCCACTAACAGAATCTGTATGGATGGTTTCAACACCTTCTCAGTGCACAAATCTTGTTCATCCCAAAAGTTTGTTGTTATAGTTCACTGGTTTTAAATTACAAAGGGAGCATAGTTATGAATTCAGATGCATATGAGGAACTCTATTGTTTTGTCGATAGGGTTGTTATCCATATCAAAGAAAAGAAACAAACTAGTTGAACATGGAGTAACAATAATGTGAGCTTGAGTGCACAAATGTATGTATAAAGGTATGTAACATAACAACAGAGGTTATGTAGGTGCTTTACCATTTTACACATGAACTCATCTATGTATTTCCGGTTAAAGATGAGATATATTCCTTCCAACTCTTTATTCTGACATCATAACACCAGGATTTAAGAGATCTATGTAAGCATTACTTTTGAAATAAGGGGTATATCAATTGTAAATCGCAAAATTAAAGGGTATATTTAGCTTTTCTTCTTGTTTAATAGAGATAATTGAAATATAACATATATTTATACATGTGGAGACCAATTCCCATAGGCCAGATGGCTCTATCAACTCGTCTCTCTTATAAAAGAACCCCTTTATCAAATGTTGCTGCCTTTAACAAGAATAGTCAGCTCTACTAGGAAATTAAAAAAATACACAATGTTTTCACTTCAAAGACGTGTAATATTTAGAATGTGCCACAACTTTGTTTTGTCATAGCATTACTACATGAATGAAAAAAATATTATCGTAAAATGAAACAGTTGTTGAAAGGTTATCAACAAGATATTTGACATACAAGCACTCATGAATACCTTCCAGTTTGAAAAAACTTACCCAAAGGGAACAAGGCTTTCAACATAACTATAAATGCCTTTGATGTAATTTTGCTTAAGAGGCCCTTGATTTTCAATTTTCTCCAACTCTTTCTTGTGAAATCATAAAACAACATAAATCACTTGAGTTCATGATGAGTACAATCTCCCCATCAAAAAATGATGCAATTCTAGTCTCTCTAGTGTTCCGTATCGAGGGAAACCCAATAATATGTCTCTGCCATTCTCTTTTTGTAGTCTTCTTTAACATCCATAATTCAAAGTATCCTTTTACACATTTTCTATAATCTATGATCCTAGTTTACCCTTCACCTCGATCAACTGGTAATTGTACATGAACTCAATTGCATCCTAGAATGCAATATTTTCGATTTTTTAGGATTTAACATCAAATGCAACTATAGATATATAATTGGCCATATGAAATTGATATGCAAACACTGGGCATACAGTACAAAATACAAGGAAAAAAGTTGTGAGTGTCTCTCCATGATTTGTCTATGCCTAAAGTGAAAACTCAGTACTTTGTGCGCCTTTCTCGAGGATGATATGTTGTCTGGAGAACTTTGTACTTGTTTTATTTTGACTAAAAACCTAATGAAAATGTATTCCAGCCTTTTTCTTCATATGGGCTGGGCAAAAATCTTACTTGTTTTGTGATGGGATTGCAAATTGCAGTAGGTTGCATACAAATGATTCCCAAGCAAATAAGAAACCATTAACACAATTCAGATGAGAATATGCAAGGTTACAGTTGTAAAGATTGTCAAGTTGAAGAACAAAGGCAGAGACTTTTCCATAATGTTGTCGGAAGAACTCATAACGTTGGAGGTTGACTGGCGGCTAAATTTTTTTTTCCTTCTAGCCTATTATGTTCCCTTTGCCTCTCTGTTTCCTGGTAGGACTCTATTTCTTTTTATATTCTTTGTAATACATTACAACTAGGACTGACTAAAATTTGAATTTTATTTTATTTTAGTTTAAAATTGTAAAAAACATATTTTTGCAAAGGAACTGAAATTATTATTTTTTAAAAATCCAATTTTTTTGCTGCAAAGCCATACGACCGTAGGAACAGAAAGTATAGTAACACAACGGAGCTTCTGTTTTTTGTTCACAATTATTTTATGTTTGATTTATATATACTTCTTAAGCCCAAAATTTAATTGACCGATATGTGAGGAAATTCAAGTCCAAAACACAGTCTTTAATTTATTCACGTCAAAATCATTTGGGAAATCTGCAGTTAACGAGTTTGAAATTTTTTTGGTTTAGATTCCTCATGATGGTCTTTGGTCAAAAGATGGAAGAAACGAGGAAACCATGGACCAAAGTTACGGTAATCTCGGCCTAATGGATGGTTTGAGAATGCAGCAAAATGGAGTTTAGTGTATACAATAATCTGAGCTTGAGTGCACAATTGTATTTGACATAACAACAGAGGTTATATATACCTGTGTATCTGTTAATGGACTAATTCTACATGTTATGTAGGTTCTTTACCATTCATATATGTATTTTCGGTTAAAGATGAGATATATATCGTGCCCTGCCCTAGCGAGACTTTACTAAATAGCCAAAACTTTTTCAATGGCTATGTCTTTTACCTTGTTTTTGAGGCAACTGAAGAAGAGTTAGAAAATAGCCAATTGGAAAAGCCAAAACTTGTATCTTTAGATCATTCAAATGAATGATATGTGAGGGAATTGAAGTCCAAAATACAGTATTGAATTTAATCAAAACAAAATCTTATGTGAAATCTGCAGATACCAAGTTTGAAAATATTTTTGTACAGGCCATCTGCTTGAAGAAACATGAGAAAGAGAGTATCGTATCTGAAATGAGGATCTACCGATCCATAACTCAGAAAATCCTGTGTCCAATAGGCCCGTACCAACAGCAGCATCTGCTGAAACTTTTTTTTTCTGTGACTGCTCCCGTTTCTCCTTTCTCCCCTCCTTGGGAGAATTTTTGTCCGAGACAGATGTTTGATCACTAGGGGTCAGTTGTATCACCTAAGATGCTCTTTTTGTCGATATGAAAATAGTAGACCTGTTCAAGTAGGAGGTAGAACCAATAAAGATTTCTTTTTTGATTCATCTCTGGACTCATTCAAGAATTGTTTTTGATCTTATTGGTATATGTCGAAAGAGAATGTCACCTTCATGAAACTACATCACTCTTAAAAGGGCCTTCGGATGAATACATTTAAACAAAACAAACTACAGTAGTCTTAAAAGGGAAAAAATGCCTCTTGACTACCATAGAAGGTCTCTATAATATCCTTCATTTATCTATTTTGCTAAAAATTGCCCCAAAGTGTACGAAACAACTGTAGCTCCAAAGCGCATACAAAATCCGTTCATGCTGAACAACTCTCATTGGTTCAGAAAGAGCATGATAGATTGTTCTGTTTTTATTGTCAATACAGCAGTGCATATGCCTCCATTACCTACTTCTGGTTTTGGACGGTGAGTCAGTGAAACCAATTTTCTTGCACTACCTCAGTTAAGGTTCTGAAAAAGTTAATTTTATGATACTTAGGCTAAGGACACACAAGTTGAGATCAGTGAAGCAGTTGTTGATGGGTAGATTCCCATGATTTCATTTTGTTCTCTCACTCGCTATATATAATGATAAGCAACTATTCTAGATCCTTTTACATGAAGGATAGATTAACAATTTCATTGATGTGGAGAAAGGGGTACCTACTAAGGTCGGATATGTGACTTTGAGTAATTACACCATAGAAACCACATCTGGAACAGTCAAGTATTTCTTGCCGCATCCGTGTTGGATTATCCACAATGTACTTCTTTTGAAGGATCCGACACGTACATTTTTTAAGAGTTCGGACATTATAAAT